CCTGTCAGTGTCTAAGCTCTAAATAGAACAGAACGGCTGGGCTGGGGGAATGAAAATAAACAGCCCCTCTGAGCAGCCCCTTCCTAGCAGTTACCGGATTTTCCTTCTGGTTCCTCAGCCCTGGGGCATTTCTAGGCTCTCTCTTCTGGCTCTCAGGCTGGAGGCATGAAGCAGTCTCTTCCGCAGGGTGTCAGAGGAGCAAGGGGTACTGGTCTACTCTGTTTGGCACTGGGGAACTCACCTCCCCTCTCTGGGCTCTGGTGAGAGCCCACTGAATGGAAAGAGAGATCCACGTAGAGTGACTGAAACTTTTTCTCCCTCAGGAAAGTCTTCTTATTACAATGATTCCCATGTGGCATAACCTTAGAAACACTCTCTCCCTTTTAAAAACACGACCCCAAATTTAAGGGTCAAATTATGGTTAGGTTCAAATTACACTGGCTTGCCTGTGCCTTTAGGAGAGATCCTCAGACTGACCCCCAGGACTGAGACCTGCCCAGCACCACAGAAGGGAGACCCATAGCCGCCAGCAGGGATGGCTGGCACAGGGGTGGCTGCTGTGGGTTCAGGCCAAATAAGCCACTCTGGGTTCTGGCTGGCCTGGGGTTGAATGATAAAGAGTTGCCTTTGGAGCTCACATGCCTCCCTCTGTTTGGAGCAATGAGGACTCAGCCAGGCTGCCCCAGAGGGCTCAGTTCTCTGCCCAGGGGTCTCCTTGAGACCTTGGACCCTGACATCCTGCACAGGAGGGAGCCAGGAACCTCCCCAACTGGTGACAAATGCCTGGAACCTGAGCCAGCTGCCTGCAGCTACTCCAGCAGCTGAAGGGGAAGAGTCAGGGAGAGACTTGACTTTTTTCTCAGCCACTCACTTCAGTAAAGGAGCATGGGGGTCGAGGAGTGCATTTGGGGGGTGCTGCAGCAGAGAAATTGCAGCATCTCACCGCCACCTAGAAGGTAAGGCAGTGTGTGGGGGTCTCCTAGCTCCTTCTCACCTCTGGCTGCTGTCTGCTGCCTCTTCCCTTTTTTCTTTCCTTCTTTCTCGAGCTCTCTCCCTCCCGCCCTCCTCTCCCTCACAAAAGCTCTCTGTACACAGCCACTTCCTCTGGCTGCTGTCTCTGAGCCCAGACCTTATGAGAACCATATGGGGGAAAGAGTGTGGAAGCAAAGGGGGTGGGGAGGCAGGCGTGGGCCGCCCCTCCCACCAGCATCTTTCCACTCCCCTCAGGCTACGTGAATGGCAGTTGGCACACTTTGCCCCAAATTCTCCTAACTGGATCCTGGTGGCTGGCGTGAGGGGTACTGAAAGGAGGGCCCAGTCTGGGGCTGGAGGCCCGAGGGAGGGAGGTCTATGCTCCAGAATGCCTTCCCTGAGACTGGTGCACAGCACAGGGCTGCCACAGGGCCTCTCCAACCTTTCCCTCCCCTGAAGGCTGCCTGAGGCCCAACAAACTCCCAGCAAAGAACACAGCAGTATGAAGCACATTTGTAGCACAAACACCCTTTGCCCCTATGTGGGCAGCCTGTATGCTGGCCAGGCCCCTTACCCATGAAAAGGGAGGCTGAGTGGACAGATGGGCTCTGTGAGAATCAGGGTGACCTTCTGTGCCTGCCTTGCCCCACCGGGCCTAGGAATGCTCCCAGGTCAAAGGACTGGATATTGCTGGAAAGAAACAGGTTTTTTGTTTTTTTTTTAAAGTAGCATTTTCATCCATTGTATCCCAAGGCCAGCCAGGTGAGCAGTCAGTCCTTCACCTGAGGAGAAAGCTAAAAACTCAACTAGCTAATCGTGACACTGGCACCAGCTAGTTATGACTATTGGTGAGATGTCAGCCCTCTCCCCTCTGGGCCTCACTTAGCTCAGTTGCAAGATGTAAAGGCTGGTCTGGCTAATCTCTAGGGCCCTTTTCAGAGCAGACGTTCTAGGAATTTATAACATGGGTTGATAGCCTCTGAGGGGCTGCTCAGATGTCTGGGGAGATCTTCATAGGAGGTTCCTTCTGGAGTCTGCTAGCTATTATTAGACTTTAGCCGGAATTCCCTGTTACTCCCCCCACCCTCACTTGAACTTCCAGAGCTGAGAACTAGGGGCCTCATCACCCTGTGTGGGGGAGGGGTATTCACAGTGATCTGTGTTTTCATCCCACAGCCAGGGTCTCGGCAAGATGCCACTAGCTTTGGGAACTTTTCCTCAGGGAAGGCCCATGAAGCCTCCTGCTCTGGTCAGGAGTACAGGTACCCATGGACCAGGCCACAAGTTTGAGGGTGTGGGTAGGATAGAGGGATCAGGAAGGAAGCTGAGAGTTTTGCTTTCCTGGAAACCTGTGAATGAAAAATCCATTAAAAGGGTGGGGTGGGGGGGGAATAAGGAAAGTAAAGAGTGGGGAGAGTCAGTCTACAAAAACAGAAGACAGGAGTTGAGATATGTTCTTGAGAGATAAACAGAACTGTTCACAGTATTGCGTCTGAACTGCCTGGAGGCACCTTGCAGAAGACATCTCATCTAGAGCTTTCTTTGCTTGAATGATCTCAGCACTAGTGTTAGGCTACCCAACCAAGTCCCCTGAGGCACCAAGTGATATGTGAAGGGTCCTGGAACCCAGTGACCCTTGCTGGAGGGGGAAGAAAAAAGGGAATGGAGAGAGGGAAGTTAGAGGCACAATATAAAAACTATTGCCAAATCCTGTTGTTTGCACCAGGGGGCAAGTTACATGAGAGGGAAAATTTGTGTGGAAGAAAGTACTGAGGCCCTGGGAGCACAGAGAAGGTTTAGGTGAATTTAGCCTTTTTCTGGGCAGCCAGGCTAGAGCTGTCTTCTCTTCCCAAACCTTCTCTTTCTTCTTCCCGCAAGATACAAGCTGGGGGTAGGACAGGTATGCTGGGGCACTGGACCCTGAAAAAGAATCATTGAACAGCTTCTCCTGAAGAATTTGGGCTCTTTTCCCTTCAGAAGCATGCTTAGGGGGTGATGTGAGGGGTGGCAGCAGTGAGGATCAGTATCATGTGGGTGGGAGATCTAAGAAATATGTGGGTGGCTGGGATTCAGCCATACTCCAGGCTGATGGGCCAGCAGGTTCTCAGGGTTTCTCTAGCTCACCCAGTCTGTTGTTCCTAAGAGGGGTGGGAGCGGGTATGTAGCCATGTTCAGGAAACCTTTCCCTGGAAGGTATCTTAAACCAGCTAGGTCAGTGGCCTGAGACAAATGGGACAGCTAGCAGTCACGTTCGCCACCACCTTCTCACAATGTATTCTCACCAAGGGTTGGCCCCTCTTTCTCGGAATGGCGTCGATGGGAATTAGCCATGGCTGGAAAGCATTAGTTGCCAAATCATTCTAAGATGTTCTGCAAAACCACCTTTTAATGTGCCCCCCCACCCTCAGTATGTAGGACTCCCTAATCCTGACAAACAGATACACAGAGAGACAGTGTCCCACACATGCGTGAGAGTGCAGCCAGGGGATCAAGTATACATACACTCCCCATTCTGGAGTTATCTTCGCCCAGCTGGGGCTCACACACCAGCCCAACTATTCCACACAGCAAGCATTTTTCTCTTCCAAAACTGAGTGGGCTGGGGAATGCCCAGGCTTGTCTGGACCCTTCAACACCAGTGGATACTCAGAGGGACCTGGAATGAGCAACCACAGCTGCCTTCCCCAGCCATGGCCGTTTGCCTGAGCTGCTGGGAGGGGAAGAGAGCAGACACAGGGCCTCCACAACTCCCACATCCCCCACCCCAAGCTAGGGAACATGCAGGGGCCAGGAGGCCAACGCCAGAGACTGACCAGCGTGTCCTGTCAGGAAGCGGGCAGCCTCTGAACCCACCCAACCAGAGGAGTTACTGTATTGTTCTGGACACAATCAGAGGACTGCAAGCCAGCTCCTATTCCCCGCCAGGCTAGCAGTGGTGGGGAAATGGTTGCCACAGGGGTCAGGAGGACAGGGAAGGGAAAGCGTCTAGTAGGCTGCACCAGGACAGGACAGGAAGGGGGCACCGCTATGGCCGGACCCTCAAGCCCCCAGAAGTGCTTGGAACTCCCGAGCACCTTGTTAGTGCCCAAGTCGTGGCAGTGGGGAGGGGTAGCTAATTCTCCAGCGGTTGCAGGGACTTTAGATCCCCAAAAAGGTGGGTTGTGGCAGCCTCATTAGGGCTTACTAAGGTCCTAGAGGGGCACTAGATGACGGAAGGATGCTTAGCCGGCACTGGGCTGTCGACGTCCCTCTGTCAGGTTTCAATTTCTTGGCAATCTTTGCATGAAGAAGTCAATCGAGAAAAGTCAAAGCTCCAGATTGATACCGGGGAAGAGAGCAAGAAGATGGGGTGCAGGAGCCAGCAGAGAGCTCATTCCACAGATGCGCGCGACGGGAGGGGGCTCAAGAGAAAGTGGGACCCCAGGGTCTCATTCCGATTAAAAGCGGCAGCACCTCATACGACAGAATTTTCCGAGTCTACCCGCCAGCCTCCACGAAAAAGACAGGTTGGAATCGGGGATGGCAGGCTCGGGGGTGGGGGAAGCTAAAGCGCCCCCCACTGGGGGTGACAGGCTCGCCGGGTGAGTTCGGAGACTCTCCAGTTCCGCCGGGTCCGCGACGCGACCGCGGTGCTAACTGCCACAGCCACTTACTTAACTGGGCCGCGAGCGTTGATCTTTCCTGCGCCTTGCCCCATCCCACCCACCTCAGGTCCACGAATCCCGCAACTCCAGCCCAGGCTGGAGATTCAAGGAGCGCAGGCGTCACGCCAGCGCTCACTCCACTTCACCTGTGCAGGTGAGTGGGCACCCGCGGTGCTCCTCTGGGGTGCACCGACCCCCCTAAATCTCCTTCCTCCTTATACATTCCTGATCTTTCCCCTATCTTTCAAAGTCCCTCTTCTCGGTGCTCGGGCTCAGACTGAATTGGGGGTATCTGCTCTGCCTCCTCTTCCCGCCCCTCCCGTCTGATGTCCACTAGCTCCCCCAGTCTGGGCTCCGGTCGGGCGGGCAGAGCGCAGTACTCACAGCGTAACGGTGCCGTTAGGCAGTAGGCCGGGCTCGGGAGGCTCCGGGAGGTCCCCGCCGCCACACACCACCCTCCTGCGCGCTGGGTTGGGGGCGCCGCCACTTAGTCCTTTGGGCCTCTCTCCCGAACACTTGCAACTGCGGATGGGGACGGGGCATCCGGGAGCGCCCTGAGTTTCGTGCAACAGGAGCAGTAGCCAAGGCAGCAGCGACAGCAGCAGACACACGGGCGCCCCCAGCATCCTGTGTCCCCCGGCGCCCATTAGCCCATCGCCCCGCGGGGACAGAGCGCTGCAGCCCGTCTGAGGGACCTGGGCGTGCGGGAGGCGTGCTCAGTAGGGGCCCCGGGCGCCCACGGGAGGGCTGGGGGGCCCTGGGCGGAGGC